AGATTGATATAAGATTAAACAGCTCTGTGACTGTAATAACTGTCTTATCTCACATCTTTTCTAGAGCTGAAGAGTCTATTAATAGTGATCAAAACTTCTCAATAATTGAACTGATTAATTATTCAGATACTTCATCTTACTGTGAAGTATAAGAGAGAGTCAGCTCTCATTTTATTTCTTCACTGAGTATATATACTGTAACTGTATTTGAATTCAATTCTTCACAGTTTGAGTGAATAATTGTAATATCATATCTCAGTAGATTCTTGATGAATTGATTGAAGATCTGTAGATATCTCAATATCTCATTCTTATATTTTAATACAAATATTTATCTCATCTGAATAACATTATCTGTTATTATCATTGCAAGCTTCTTATCAGTGTAAGATGATATATTATTCTCAGTTTCAAGAGTCTTATTATCACTGAATATATTCACTCAAATCTTCAAGGTCTTACAGATGATATAACATAGTGTGAAATTCTTGTAGAATACACATTTCTGCTTAGTCATAATATATATAGCACAGAATGATAATTTCTTCAGACTGATAATAATAATATTAAATTACAGATCTCTGATTATTTTTAATATACTATTTTCACTGATATGATTAAGTTAATGATGTTACTTATTTATCAGAAGCTGCTTCAGAAGAACTGCAGATAATTAAGATAAAGATAAGATAATAAAGAAATCAGTATCTAAATTCTTAGAATTAATCAACTGTTCAATCTTCTTATAGCTGAAAGATCTCAAAGACTCTGTATTCAGATTATAATCTGTTAAGACTGTCTTTAATTTCAGAATAATTATATATGTTACTACTTTATATATCAGATTGTTCATTACACTATAAAATATCAGTGAGCTGTTAAATAGAATGTAAATATTATTATAAGATAGATTGACATAGAAGATATCACTGTTAATAGATAATAGAAACTCAAAGTAGTTCTCAGTATTAACTTGTATATTACAGTAAATATAGCTCTGATACTTTATAAATTCTGCAGAGATCAGATTTGCAGATAGTTCTGATATATAGTATATATAATTAAATTCTATCAATCTCTTACTTGTTAGAATGAATGCAGTACTGACATTCTGAACCTTCAGAATAATCTTATTAGTCACTTAAACTGTTGAACTATTAATTGCTCTAAGTTCTGAAAATTATGATCTATCACTCACTATGTGACATTCAGCGCCACTATCTTATATAGTAAGGAAATTCTTATAAGTTTTATAAAATAGACTGATACATTGATAATCTCTGTAAGATTTACTATCTGATAGATCTCTGATTCATCTGTAATAAATAGTTAAGTTCTACTCTCATTATTGTTCTTTTTCTTCTTTTCTTTGAATTTCTTTTTTCTCACAGTATTGTAGATTTTTCAATTATCTGAAGCACTGTCTGAATTGATTAATTAACAGATGTTAAAGTAAGATCTCTCATATTTAGAATATATAGATGAATTTCTTAATTCTTAATAGTTTCAGAAGCTTTCTTAAGTACTATTACAATCACATTCAGTACAGTATTTATGAGCTGAATTCAATGTATTGTTGTTGAAATTGATAGATGTTGTAATTATTATAGCTGTTGTAGCTGTTGTAGCTATTATAGTTAGCTGCAGAATCTATATTCTGTAGATTCTTTTTATCTTTTAGAGAATTAAGCTGTAAACAGATCTTCTTCATAAGAAGATTAACATTCAATACTATCACTATGAATTTGAAATTCTGTATCTTCTTAATCTTCTTCTGAACATAATTTCTTCAATTGTTAAGTAGAACTGAGTAGAAGGTATTAAATATTTATGTATCTAAAGAGAAAGCATTCATCATCTTCAATTTTATAATAACAGACTGAAACTTATTAAAGAATGTGTGTATATTGATGATCTATATATCACTAAGTGATATGAATTTCAGAACTGTCTCACAGTGTAACTGTGTTTTTAAGATAGAGTATTTCTATTCAATTACATTTCATAGAGTATAAGTGATTCAATTTTCATCATATTTGAAGAAACATGATCTGACACCTGCACTCAAGAAGTTCAAGATAAATGTGTAGAGTCATCAGTTTCTAACATCTCAGAATAATACTTATTTATCATCTCTTTGTAAAGAGTTCTGAGTCTGTTATTTCTCTATCATATACTAACACTGAGCATTAATCAGTTTCACTTTTATGAAGATGCTTTATATGATGTAATTAAATATATCAGTTAGACTGTTTGACCTTATGGTATTCTTGATATCTTTCTTAAATTGAGAGATTGTCTTGTCAACACGGCTATTCAGATAATAAAGATTGAATTTCAACCTTTCACTGAGATTAGAATTTCATGTAGCTGTATAAGCTGTTGAGATAGTGATAGAATAATTATTAACATTCTGTGATTGATCTGTAGAGAATCTCTGTTGACAGAGTTTTTTCAGTTGTAATTCAAGTTCTAGAACTCTTCACTTCTTCTTCTTCATCTTAAATATTATCTTGAGATGTTTTATCTGTTGATCTGATATTTCCTCGCCTGAACAGTTAACTTCATGAGAACCAGTCTTATTAAGCTATTAAGTAGATTGAGAGGCCGGTCTGACCGCGTCAGAAGCTGTATTCAAACCAGCTTCAAATTGAGAGAGTGTTTCAGAGTGTTTATTAATAGAGCTTTTAAATACTTTAGAAGAATGTTTACTGATAGATTATAAGTATGAAGAATTATCATCATCAACTGCAACTGACTCAGTGAAAAGAATATGAGATTTCAAATATGTATATAAGTGAGATTGTGTTGAATCTGTCATCTTGATATTCATTTATTGAATTCTTGCTAATATTATTCTCTTTTTCTTACTTTTTTACAAATATAATATGTTTTCTACAAGCCTCTTTTTTAAGTGAGTAGTAGTACTATTGATTAACAAGATCTCAATACTGATAGAATAAGATAATTTTAACTTCTGATAAGTGTATTGAATGAAGCAGTAGTTAAATAATGATTATATTAATAAGAAATTCTGAATTGACAGTGATTTTGCACAAAACAGGTCTCATAACCTGTGAAAGATGTAAAGCTTGTGTGATTGAAAGATTGCTAGCTTGTGAAAAGTTATATAGTGAAAGAATTAGTAAGCCAGATCACGTGACCTGATAACTACTACTCACTTAAAAAAGAAACTTGCAGAAAACACATCACATTGTAAAAAAAAGCAAGAAAAAGAGAATAATATTAGCAAGAATTTAATAAATAAATATTAAGAATTTAATAAATAAATGTTAAGATGATAGATTTATTACAATCTTACTTATATATATATAGACTGACTACTGAGATTATGAATTTTATATTTAGTCTTATTTTATCTGATCTCATACATTTCTTAATATGAATTCTGCTGAGACTAGTCATTAAAAAAACAGATAAAGTGACTATATATTAAATCTCAAAATGAAACCATGACTTGAAAAAAATGAGAAAGTGATCTTATTTGAAAAATGTAATAAGAGTAGATAGTAAGTCTCACTGAGACAGTATGAAACTACTATCTAATATTAAAACTGTGTAATGAGATCAGTTGAATTGATAATAAGACTATCAAAAATTCTAATTCTGATCTCAGACACGGTCACACGGTCAGTCTATATATATATTTATAATTTGATTGTGGCGGGCTGCGCCCGATCAATTATATAGACTATTTCATTACACTTCACAGATTCCGCTGAAAGCTCCGATTCTTAATCACTGATTCTCAGCTAAAAAACTCATGAAATTTCTATTCTTTCACTCTGAAGTTTCACTATATATACATATTAATATTCACTCTGATCACTGATTCTCATACTTTCTCGTTCTTTTCTTCTCTAATGTTTTTCACTTTTATATTATAAGACCTATATATCATATCAATCTATCAATATAGACCTTTTACACTTGGAAAATGTTCATCATCTTCTTATTAGAAATGATTACTTATTGAGAAGATATCTGAACATATAATGATGTATAAGAAATAGAAAAATAATCAATCAGTTTAGTGAATACTAAGTTCTTAAATAAAAGCTTACTCATCAGTTACTCTAACCCTGTAATAAGATCTTATAAAGAGAATATCAGTGAAAGACCTGAGAGTTCTGACACTCTAAATGTATAAAATATTCATATAATTACACTTCTTCAGATTTCACAGTTATTATATATCTAATGAATGATATAATCATGTCTAATAATAACATGAAAGAACTCTCAACTATAAGTATAGATGTAATATTACAGTGACTCTGAATAATGTTGAAATTACAACAATAATAAATAGCTGATATACACACAAATTAATAACATTAATATGAGAAAATTCAATGATTAACTCAACAAGAAACTGCTGTAATTTTAACACTAACAGAATTGAATATAAACATAATATAAGTACTGAAGAAATGCTTAGATACTTTCATATATTTTAATACTTCTAATCTCACTCTCTACTCATCATGAAGGCTGGAAATACTTATGAAACTAAGTATAGATAAAGATGTCATCAGTTCATCAACCAATCAAGATTGATATATCAATAAATGATTGAAGAATTATATGAAACAGAAGTTTCATCTATAAGTAAAAGTATATGAATTAGTGTTGTGAATATCTGATAATATTATCAAACATCTTGATATTCTGTTCTAAAACACTGTTATATAACAGAAAGTATTAGATTGATTACAGAGTATCTAACAGAGAAACACTTCTCTTATAATATTTATTTCTAACTTTGACACTAAGATTCTAGAAGCAGGTGATCAATCTTGAGAGAATTAAATAAAGATTAATATGCTTAAGAAAATATTAACTTTCAAACTCTTACAGACTCTTATAGTGTAGATGAAGATCAGACTTATAAAGATTTCTATATACAACTTCAGACATTGAATAACTGTCTTATCAAGCTCAAGAGTATACAGAATAGTGATAGAAGATGTTATACTTCAGCTACTTATACACCTGCACTCAGACAACCGCTCCAGCACGAACTCGCTCGATTTTTCGAATAAGAACCCGCCGATAGATCCATCGAAACGCCCTCGATCATACGAGCATTTTGACCCCATCGCCGACCGCATACCCCGTGTGATGGTGGAGTTATTCAGCCAAACATGAACCAGACATTGTTCGAAACTCCTGTGTGGGATTATCCCCCGTTCTCCCCTACCACACCACAACCCCGGGCCAAATTGCCATACAAATTGTAAGATGAAGAGACCTAGCCATATGCACCAATCTTCTCGATTTTGGAAGATCCCCGATCTGTAATTGTGGAGATATCTGAGGAGCAACCTCCGCGAAAACCCTGTCCATCTTTGATGTTCCAAAACATCAACGCCAAGTCCCACCCTCGTACCGCCCTTCCCAATCTGGCCCATCCCCGGCAGAACAATACAAAAAGATACCTCAGCAACAGTAGTCGATACATAACCAGCGGACAATGAGTCAACAGAACAAGTCAACAGCATGTCAACAACTATAAATTCAGTATACCCCAAGGTCTGACTGAGCCTTTGATCCCTGCACAGTGAGATATATTAAATCTAGTTTTAATACCTCAATATTCAATAGATTCTGCAAGGAATTGAGAACAGCAACACTAGATTTCTATTAAATTTGAGAATTAACTCTATATTGATATAATCATTGACAAAGTCTTCTATTTTGAGATATAAATAACCAGTTCCTCTACATCCCACTGACAATATTTATATTATTATATAGAAACAGACTTATATTCTCTATAATATCAAGACTCTGAAGAGGAAAAGTCTTGATAGAGAGTATACAGTAGTGCATATCTTAGCAGTTTCTATCTTATTCTTCTACAGCAGTTAATGCAAAAAAAAGATCTTAGAAATAGTTTTTTACTTCTCTTGAAAAAGTAAGATGTTTTTCTCTGGATTTTACACAATATTCTTATAAAGAATTAAAAACAGAGTTGTTTTCTGTCATAATTTTATATTCTTTTAAGTAAGAATTACTTTTTCAGTGACTGAAGAGCTTTCATTAATACTTAATTCTTTTTTACACTCTTTATTAACTGATTTGAGTTGCACACTTGTTGTGTGAGAAGAATTGAATGATTTAGAATAAAATTGAATAGTTTTAATCAATTTCTCTGCAAAAAATTGATTTATTTTTTATCAGTTTTTCTCTTAAAAATTGTCATATTATCTGATTTATTATCAATTGATATCATACTTTTTCTCACTGTATCTCAAGAAAGAGATTGTAAAGATTTTATTGATTTATCTTAAAAATCAATTTTAGTTTATTAGATTCTCTTTAAAAATCTAACCTAGTTACTGAACTAGTGTGAAAAAAATCAGGTGTTTTATATATAAAAGTCTTTTATTCTTCTTTTGAAACAGTCTGATCAACTTTTCACTTGAAAACAGACTTAGAAATCTCTTAATTGAAACAGTCTGATCAACTTTTCAAAAGAGTTCAATAAATATCTTAATTGAAACAGTCTGATCAACTTTTCATTGAGTAAGAATAATGAGTTCAAAAATACACTCAGTTGATGTGGAAAAAGATGCTTTCTCAAATGCTATTTCTGAGATTGAAATTCTCAAGAGAAGAAAGAAAGAAGAAATAGAGAAATAACAAGTTCTTGAAATACAGAAACTTGAAAAAGTAAGCAAGATTCTTGAAAAGCAGTGTCTGAGTGAGATGAATGAAGAAGTTCTATTAATTATTCATACTCAGACTAGACAACTATAGAAGATGATCAAGTTCAAACTTGGAATTTCAAACACAGTTTAAAAAACATTGAAAATTCCTAGTATAATCACTGACTCTTCATTTTACTCTTCTTTCTTTTCTACTTCTTCTTCTTCTTTAAATCAGAAGAAAATATATACTCAAGCAGCTGAATTTACTGTCTCTAAATCTGCTATCTCACAATCTGCTTAAAATCCTGAGAAAACTGAGAAGAATACTGCTCATACTTCTATTCATAGAAAAGTGAAGAAAAAAATGCAAAAAGAGAAAAACTTCTAAATCTTCAGAAATAGAAGACTTATTCTCAAAGTCTCAAATCAGAACATCTTGCAAAGAAACAAGCAAAACTCAAATCTCATTTTCAGAATCAGAAATGAAATTAATCAGCAGTTCTTTTCTCAGTTGATAACTGATATTAAAGTTCAAAAATCAGTTATAGCTTCAATTGAGTTATTCTTCTTTGAAAACTTCATCATTCTGACTAGACTGGCCGCCGGGACCATGAATTTCATGTTTGGTCCCATTTGGTCTGGTCTCATACATTTCTTGGCGTGAATCCCGCTGGGACTAGTCATTAAAAAAACATGTAAAGTGGCTATATATCAGATCTTAAAATGAAACCATGACTTGAAAAAAATGAGAAAGTGATCTCATTTGATTTCATTTAGTTTTATTCTTGACATGAAGTTACTATTTTTAGACATTTTAAGGTTTTTTTTAGACTATTTTTAATTTTTAAAAAAGTAACACTTTTTGATAACACTCAAATAAGATTTAAAGTCATTTAAAGCAATAAAAATAATTTAAATTGAGAAGTGAAAATCATGATCTCATTTGAAAAATGTGACAAGAGTAGACAGTAAGTCTCACTGAGACAGTATGAAACTACTATCTAATGTTAAAACTGTGTAATGGGATCAGTTGAATTGATAATGAAACTATCAAAAAATCTAGTCCTGGTCTCAGACACGGTCACACGGTCAGTCTAATTCTGACTACAATGCCTGAATTCAGTACGGAATTCCTTATTCAGAATGAGAATCTCTGAAAATCAGTAGTAGAATCTTTGTTTAAACACAACAATTCTATCTGAGAGAGATGAAAAGTGAGATAAATTCATTCTTTATAATATTTCAGTTGAAATTTTTGACTGTGAAGAAGAAATGCTACTTCTTAAAAATAAATTAGATGAATACAACTCTATTCAACTGAGAAAAGAGCCTGTATGACTAAATTCAATTGAGTTCAAATAAAGTAGAAGAAATGTCTCTGTTCTAGTATATACAAAAACACTTAAACAGTCAAAGATCTCTGAAGTAAGAGTAGCAGGTTTGAAAATGAGAGTTCATGAATACAAAGACTTAAGAATGAATCTCAAAGCTCAAACACAGTGTTCAAACTGTCAAAGATATGAACACTTTGCAATCTCTTGATTTAAAGACTCAAAATATGCATTCTGTGTCAGAGATCACAAAACTAGTGAGCATAAATGTGAAATATGCTCAAAAAGAGGTGAAATATGTTAACACACTCTGCTTAAGTGCTCTAATTGCAAAGAAAAACATGCATCTAGCTTAAAAGAATATATATTTGCTTCAAGAACTCAAAAGAACTGGAGAAAAGATGAAGCTCAAAGTTAATCTAGAACTGAAGAAAAGAGTTAAGCCAGTAAACTCATAACTGTAAGCTTAAAAAGAAGAAACTCTTAACTGTCTAAATCTTCAAACTTCAATTCTTCAGCTAAATGTAAGTAGAATTTGAATTCTCAAACTTCTGTTAAGATTAGAGAATTGAGAAATGACTCTGATGATAAACTAGATATAATATAAGCAGTTGAGATTCCTACTTTTCAAAATAGTTATAATCTACTATCTGATGATAGTGATTAGATTCTACTCTATCTCTACTCTCTTTTAGTATGAATATACAACAAAAATAAGAAAAACAGTTTAAAAACTCTTCAAAAATCACATTTATTCAAAATAATGTGAATAGAAACTCAAATTGTATTTATTCTTGTCTTCAAATTATATTTGAATAAAGAGTTGATTTTATACTGCTTCAGAAACTGAATTTTGATACTGAGTAAAAATATATTATTTCTTATTCAAGCTACTACTGCTTTCTATCTCAAAAGTCTGAGATAAAGTCAAGAGTAGTAATCTATGAAAGAAAGAGATTAAGATATCAATTTAATCTAAGATTTAATATCATGTCAGACTCTGATATTCTGATGAGTGATATTATGAATAAAGAGAATGAGTTTAATACTATACAGCTTATAAATATCTATAATGAAAAGTTATTGAAGAAAAATAACAATATCTGAATAATTAATAGAGGATTTCTGAACATAACTTCATTAAGAAACTCTATAATTATAGGAGATTTCAATACACATTATCTCTGATGAAATTCAGAATGTAAAAGAGCAGTAAGAGCTGATAATCTGATTGAATAAATCTTTGAGCATTCAATAGATTTAGTTAACAAGTCTGATCAACAAATATTCTTCAGAAAAGATATGAAACAGAAATCTATTATAGATCTAAGCTTCATGTTACAAAATCTAAGAAAAAAAAGACTTATAAACTGATTTATTAATTCAAATGAGACATCAGAATCAGATCATGAAGTTATTCAATTTGATATTGAACTGAGTAAAAAATAAATGAGTGAAAATCCTCTTCTCTCTAATCAGTTTAACTTTGAAAAAGCTGATTAAAAAGCAGTTGAAGAAAGTATAAAACTGTTAAAATCTGAAAGACAGAGTGAGCTATATTGAAATCCTGATCAAGATATCTCAAATGAAATGCTTGAGAATAGAGTGAAGCTCATTACATCTATTATTCTAACAAGTGTTAAAGATAATATTTCAAAGAGAAAATCTTCTGAGTATTCAAAATCTTAATGAAATGAGAATATCTCATTTAAAAGAAAAGAATTAGCTACTGTTAGAAGAGATTGAAAGAATGATATAATATCTGATAAAGAGTTCAAAGCTGTCAGAAATGAATATTTTTCAGATATTAAAAGAGCAAAAACAGACTACTGAAATAAATTTCTTGAAGAAGTATAAGAAAGTTTTTAAAGCTTTTAACTATACTAAAACAAGAAGTGTAGCAAAACTTCCAGTCTTAGAATATGAGTTTCAGAATGAATCATATACAGTAAACTCTTTTCAGAAAAAATGTCAAGCTTTTATGAGAAGTCTCTTTCAAAACTCATCAGATTCAGATTCAGAGAAAGAGAATATATCACTTCTTAACTATACTAATGAAAATGACTCAGAATGATCTGATCTTATACAAGATGAATTAGAGTCAGCTATCTTCTCAAGTTCAGTTAAAACTGCTGCAGAGCCTGATTCAATTATAACTTGATTATTTAAAATATATACTTCTACTTAAAGAATGAATATTTTAAGCTCTTTTTCAATCTCTTAAAAAATGAATATTATTCTGAATACTGAAGAGAAGTCACTGAAGTGATTCTTATAAAATCTAATAGAAAAACTTTAATTTCTAAGTTATATAGAGTAATATCTCTATTGAACTGTCTAGAAAAGATTTTAGAAAAGATAATAGCTACTTGACTATCTTTTATAAGCTCTATTAATAACTCTCTTTTATTCAGTGAATAAATAAGAGATAGAAAACAATGTTCTGTAATTGACACTGTTCTCTCAGTTATTTATAATATTCAAATAGTAAAGTATAAAGATCTGGTCTCAACTGCAGTTTTTATTGATATAAAAGAAGCATTTAATCAT